CTTGGAGACAGCGGCAAGGAAAATGTTAGTGGGCCTTTTTCTCAGCATTTATGTGAAAGCTTAAAGTTTAGATTATTATTTAAAAAAGATATATAGATAAGGTAGAAGACATGAAACTTTTAAAAATCTCAAAGTATAAGGGCAGAGTGAAAATATTTTTAAACTACATAATACAGAGAATTGCATTAAAGGTTCTTTAAAAATATCAGTTCATCAGTTGTTCTCTACTGTTATTGTTATGCATTTGAATATGAAATATCCATAAATGATGTCCCTTATACAGTTTACTCAATGATAGAAAAGGAAGAAGGTTGTTTAGGGTGTTCATGGTAATACCACATATTTAGTAAACTTTCTTCAAAAAAATAAAAATAAAACATTGTTGTTACTGGCAAGACTTTTATTTCTCAAGGTCCAAAAAACACTAAAGTGAAATGTACAAGAAAAACATCATTTAAAAAAAAAAAATTCCATCATAAACTAAAGAAAAGGCTGTCGACTTTTGTCCTCCAATCAACAACAGGAAACATGTCACATGACCTCTATACAGTGTTTTGTTGAAGTCTCTCTTCAAGTTCCTCCTTTAAAGGTTACCTGTGGAGTTTTAGACCTCTAGTAGCGCCATGTTTTAATATGAGTGGGTCCTTGTTGTCACACTACTCCACTGATTAACAGGTGGCGGCACCTCGCGAAGAAAAGCAGTAATGCTCCCACAAGGGCAGGGAAGAAGAAAACCGCTATCTAGTAAACATTGATGTAAACAGGATTTAAAATACATGACACCTTTTGTTTAGAAGAATACACACAGTGAGTTTTGGTTCGAACACTGAATCTAAACAATAAAAAAAACTCCACAGGGCCCCTTTAAATTGATGCTTCCTAAGTCCCGCCCCTTTTTGCTCTGTGCTCCAATACAAGTTGAGCTAGCTTCCTCCTTTCCTGTACTTAGTTATGCTATGCTAGGCTAATCTATATTGAAAAGACAACCATATTTTGAAGATGGTTAAAAGATTAAAGTGACATATATATATATATAAATAGTCACATCTTAAGTTAGCTAATATAAGCAAAACGTTAGCTAACTAGCTATATCTACATCAGTGGTTAACTAGTTAGTTAGCTAACTATCTAGGTAACTAGCTAGTTAACAACCAGGGTTGGGAGGGTTACTTTAAAAATGTAGTCCGATACAATAACTAATTACCTGTTCAAACATTTAGTCAGTGACTTATGGGTTAGGGTTAGATTGCATTTTAAAATTGAAATCTTTTTTATTAAATGTACACAACTGTAATCTAATTGCATAATGGATTACAGTTACCTGTTTTTGGTCACCTTAATCTGTTACTCTACAAACCAGATTATCTAGCTAGTTAGCCAAAGTTTTTTTTAGCTAATCTACATTAATCGTTAGCTAGCTAGTTATATTAGGTAGCTAGCTAGCTAGCTAGTTAGCTGGATAGTTTGCTAGCAGTTTGCAAACATTAGCTAACGAAAGATATGACTACATGTTTTTTTTAATCTTTTAACCATCTTAAAAATGTGGTTGTCTTTTCAACATATATTAGCCTAGCATAGCATATATAAGTACAGGAAAGGAGGAAGTTGACCAAAGGTCCAAAAAGGGGCGGAGCTTAGGAAGGATTCATTATGCAGGTTTCAATTTGATTGTTACAAATACATGGAAACAGGAACCAAAGCCTGTTCTCAACTCTTATTTTTACACTGTACAACATATACAAATTACTACAAAAAATGTTGCGTCCCTTGATTTCTTCAGTAGCAAAAGCATTATGTCTGCCACCATGTTGGTTTGTGTATAAAGACCCCTCCCTTTCCACGGACATGTAAAGTACTTACAACAGAACATCCTGGCAAACATACCAACACAATGGTATCAAACAGACAAAGTACAAAACATTTAGTTGAGGCACAAAAATGCCCAAATCCAAAAGGCTAAAAATAAACTATTCTTTCAAGAAACACTTTTGGCGAAAAATATATAAAAATATTTCCATCAAGAAGTCAACGGCTAACAAAGCTGTCAAACCTTCGACTCCAAACAATACTCATAAATTAAAAAAAAGCAATATCTTAAGGCTCTTGACGATTAAGTTAATAAATCATATATACACAATGATTAATAAAAAAAATATTTACACATCTATACAGAAACATTCTACATGGACGATTCTTCATATTGACTCAAAATTTCCCCCCAAAAAACCAAAATAAATATGTTTTTTTCCAAATTCATCAGTTGCTGCGGTGCAACGAGGCAGCAGCGCATTCAAATACGGAACTTATTCTCGAATGAAAGTTGCATCGAAAGATGATCGTGCACATGAGGCTTTTAGGAATACTCCTGCACGTCCGAATTCTGGTGTTTACGAAAGAGTCCACAAAATCGGAGATCCAGCCAACCGCAGTGGACCGTTCAGACCAGTGTCAGTCAAAACATAAATTAAAAACAGCAAAAATCCATCTTGAATTAAACTCTGAACACAAAAAAGAATGTAAAAGTAAACAAAACGCCCCCTCGAGGTCACGTCAGTCATTTTGACCCCGGTTGGTTATACAATATACTCCATCCTGTTTACACTTTGGGTCTGCAGTTGCCTGTTGTCCTGTTTGCTAGTCCAGTGTGGGGGTCGTTCCTCCCAGTCCACCAGCGAGTACGCTGGCGGCGCCCGGGGGAACCTCGCCTTCTGCAGCCTCTTGTCCATTTCTTCTTCGTCCGATTGGCTCCCGGTGTCTGACTTCCTAATCTTGGCGTTGACGGAGTTCTTGTCCTCGCGGAGGTGGTGGTGGTGGAGGAGGAGGTGGTGTTGATGATGGTTCGGCGGGTTTTTCTCGATGGGGTTCTTGATGTGGTTGAGCTGCTCGCGGGCGGCGCTGATGCTGTTGTGGAGGGCGTTGTTGTCCTCGGCTGCAGGTACCATAGACGACGGCGGTGGCGGTTGCGTGCTGACTCCCGTGTGGGCGCTCTGCTTCCTCCGTCTCCTCACGCACCACAGCAACATGGAGGTGATCGCCAACGCCCAGACGACAATCACCACGGACACCAGAAGGGGCACGAGATGGTCTGCTGGACAGAGAGAAAGTGAAGGTCAGTGAACAACTCGAGACATTTGATTTAAAAACCTCAACTAAGACCGATACGCTTTCTAGAAACGTCAAATGAATAAACGTAAAGAAACACTTTGAAATTTTGGGAATTTGTTTGCTGCTTTATAGTCTCATGATACAAGACGATCAAAGATCTGAGTGCCTACCGATCATCTGAGGATTTCCAAATGCAAAGTAGTTGCTTGAATGTCGGAAACAAGTTGCCTTAAATTATACAAAAATGTTTTATAATTTTGACTTGGCTTAAAAACATTGTAACATGCATTGTAAGAGCTGCCGTGAAATCAGTTTAGGCCACAAAGCTTTTTACACAATATGTATCTACGGTACAAATTATTAGAGATGACCAAATAGAAAATATAAGACGGAGAGAAAACTCACGGAGGTCGACCCCGAGTTCCTTGCTAAAATATAAAAAGTTCATGATGCCAAATTTGTCAGTTTATCTGCTATTGGTCTTAACTCTGTAAAATCTGGACCTTGAGATCAATTTCAAACCACATCTCATGGATCAACAGCTCGCTCCGTTTTCACAGAGACATATCAGTCGGCATCACATTTGGATTATTTAGTCAAACTATAATTCCCAAAGTCCAGAAGGAAGTTTCACGCTCAAACACATGAGAGATTTAAAAAGTGCTGACTCACCATTGGAGTTGTGGCTCTGTCGTTTCTGGACGCGAACCTCGGCGATGGCGCTGATGATGCTGCTGTTGGCGCTCCTCTTGCTCACCAGATCCATGATCTTATCCGTGATTTCCTTGATGAAGGTAATGCCTCTCCTCTGGTCGTCTGTCGACTGAGACATTCAACAGAAAAACTCCATTATGGTCTGTCTTTGGCATTTCAGTCTAAATGAATGCTCATTTTGGTGCCCTCTAATTACCGATCGATGCACAATAGGTCGTGAAAGCTTTTCCATTCCTAAGAAAACTCATCTGGATGCACTTCATTTTTCTGTGGTTTGAAACTGTTTAATCTTTCAAACTTTAAGCGTTCTAGTTGTGGCAGCGACAGCGTTTATACCCTGTTGTTGCTCTTATCTCAGTTCTCCCTCCTTTTCCATTTTATAATTCCAGACTTTTGGTAAATGTTAATGTGTTGTACTGGAAGTCACAACCGGATTATATCAGCTGCTGACCAAAGCTCCATAATTATCACATTACACCGTCAACTCTGAAACTTTTCACAAACTTAAAATGATTGATTTTCAGACGTGACTCACGATGGCTACGTGGATCTCGTTGTTGGCGCCGAGCGACAGCTCACAGGTCATGGAGACGGAGGAGTCGGAGGACAGATTCTTGACGACGTAGAGGCTCCTGAGCTCGCGGCAAACCTGCTCCACCGTCACACCCTGTAACACCACAGCAGAGCAACTCCATCAACAAACTATATCAGCATGTTAAAAACACCAAAATCCTCAACAAACTACAAGACATCACATAGAGAGATCACATCACCCCTGTCCTTCAATTCTCCACTGGCCCCTCATACAACAAAGAATAACACTTACACACTCTTCAAATGTTTGTGTTTAAAAAAATGTAATCTAAATTTGTAATTTGTGTTGAGCAACGGCAGAGGTTTGGATCAAAATCAAAAAATACTTTCTTCTTCTTTACGACTTGAAAATTATTATTATAAATTATATATATATAAATTATACTTAAACCAAACATTTATTACATTCAATCTGTATTTCTTATTGTTTCATGTGTAAAACGTTGAAAGAATGAGTAATTAAGAATTTAAGAATTGTAAGGTTTAACCTATGACACATTTACTTTAATTAGCACAGCAATCCCCTTGTCCTGTCTAGCTATCTAGCACTAGCACATTAATATCTGAACTATTATATCTTGTATAATCAGCTCAGCTAATAATACACGCATAAAGTCAGTAAGACTTCCCAGTGGAGACTTCCTACATTGTCCTTAAATAGTCTCGAATTCAGGATTTACAGACACTGAGTGGATGATTAAGAAGGTGTTTGAATATTTAAGTGACAAAGTAAGTAGAGTAGTAGTAGAGTAAAAAAAATGAAAGTCGGACAGAGAGAATGTGAAGAACCTCCGGAGGCGACTGACCCTTGTCATGACGTCTTTGTTGAAGGTGAAGGTGACATTAGCGCAGCTGCTCTCCGGGTGACACCTGGCCACTGGCGGGGACCGGTGGGCGGGGCCCCAGCACTCCCCCTGGCTGGGGCAGGGCTTGACGAAGCAGCGCTCATCCCGGACGGCCACGCAGGTCTGACCGGCCGGACACTCGGAGCCACGAGTCTTATGGTGGAGGCTGCAGGGTTTAGGTCCACACCAAAGCTGTCAGAGACACAAGGCAGAGAAGGAGGTTAGACTTTCTAGAAATGTAATGAGAAACAAATCAAGCCACATGAATCGGTCTTGAATAACACAATAATTAATCATAAACATACGAGTTATTATCTGCACACACGAATACGGACAAAGCGCCAGTTCTACCTTCGTGCAGCTGATTCTCCCGTTGTTACAGTGGCAGGTGTTGCAGTCTTCGTCCCATCTGCTTCCATCCAGAGCCACCAGCCCTTCGACCACACAGGGTCGCCCCGACGCTGCAGCACAAAAAACCACCAGCAGCACCGTCAGTGCATTCGTTTCATGATTCATTAGTTGGTGATTTGAATTTGAGTTTGATTAATGCTTTAATAATGTGAGTATTGATTACTGATTTACTCAGTTTTGAACTGAACAGTTAATTTTGGATAAATAAGATGGCTGCAGTGAAGATTGTGTCTAAGAACTATTGTTACAGAACACACTCAGGTTTTACCTTCTTGGCAGCGCGGGCCGGTTCTTCCTGGCGGACAGATGCAGCGATAAGCGTTGATTTCATCCACACAGGTGGCGCCGAAGGAGCAGGGCGACGACTGGCACTCATTGATGTCTGGAGGAGGGGAGCGACAGTTATTTTATAGTTAGTTACTGAAATAATAATTACATTTATCTGTCTTCAGTAACATAAGCCAGGTTTTCAGCCAAGAGTTTAACCAAATTTCGGGAAAGTCGTCAAAAGAAAATGGAAACGAATGCTTGTTTCAATCCACTGCTGTCGTGAAGTGTCGAGTCGACTCCTTCCAAAAAATTCCAAATTCTCCAGCCAATAGAGCCCCGTTGAGTACCCCAAAGTTTTATTTTAGAAATGTACGGTATTGGTCCCCAGTATTTAGAAACTGCTGGATGTTAACTTGCATGTGTTGGACAATTAGCATAATTAGCATTAAAAAGAATAATCATATATCAGCAACTGTTTGGCTGATGGTTTGGGGGATTACACTGAATCCATTCCAGACATTTTCAAAATGGCTGATTAAACAGGAAGTGTTCATATTTCAACTTGGGATGATTCTGATACATTTTGAGTTGTATGAGTCATTTATATGATTAATAAATCACCACAGTTTGAAGAAATATTACGTTTAAATATTTGCCCTGATGACATTGAGCTCTCTTGATTCCAACGTGCATATAAATAACCTCAACATAAACTAAAAGATTCATCAAAATCAGCCCACTGGCAGTTTAAATATTGAACTCATCGATTAATGGAGACGTGATCGGCTCTCTGAGCTGCTGAAGTTTGGAAGAGATTGAACAAAAAGGAATAAGGGGGAGGCAGAAAATGA